TCAGGTGTGTTTAATTAGGGTTGTTGGCGCTAAAGGCAGCAGGAAAGTGGACCTCGAGGGCCAGAGTTGAGGACCCCTGCCTTACTTGGCCTGACTGAGCTTGATAATAATTACATTTTAATCCGAATAAAAAGAGGTGGTTTAGATCTGTTAAATATCTTTAAAAAAAATAATTATATTAATTCTGCCAGAAAAGCTTTTTTTTTCCCCCATCAATGCAAGAACATTAAATATCTTGCTGTTTCTGAACATGGTGATTGACGCACAGTGTATACATTAAAATTTTGCTCGAAATATGTAATGCATGTGGTAAATGAACACTAGAAATTGGCTTTAAAAGTTTAGGGTACAAAATAAACCGTATTTTCTGAATGCAGAGCCACGGTGGATTCTTTCGGACTGACAAATTGTGTGACGTTCATTCAAATGATTTTAGCTGGAATAAAATAGATGTGCTGGATAAATTAATATTTAGGCCTAGTCATATTTTTAAATAATATTATTTAGGGGTGCTCCGATCAGGATTTTTGAGGCGGATCACCAATCACCGATCACAGAAAACAGTATCTGCCGATACGATCACAGATACCGATCTTTTTAAAGCCTTCTTTTTATCATGTAGAATTATTTATAGTGATGATCCAATCAAGATTTTTAGACTAAATAAATAAATAAATAAATTTATTCAGAGCCTGAATTTCATTTTTGAAAATGAATTCCCCTCTTAGGTGACTCTTGTGAGAGGGGATTTTTTTTTATTTGAGAGGTGGAGGGGGGCATTTTTTTTTAGACATTTTTCAAAAATATATATTTCTAAGTGGTGCAGAAGCAGCTTTCACACAGGAGTCTGCAACTGATCTGTGGCTGTTTACCACGAACACATTTATCCATTATTTTGATTTCAAAGCCAAACATTGTTACTGAAAATGCTTTTTCAGAATTGTGATTCTTTTTTTAAACAGTACAGTAATACAATCTTTCAAAGACGTGTTTAAACGCAATAAACATAAGAAACACATTAATCAATGCTTTTTACTTTTGCATTTACTTCTAGATTTAAGCTATATTTTAAGTTGCTCAAGCAAGTGGCAAAACATTTAAACTACTTTTCTTACATTATCACAAACATTCAAAAATAAAACTTACCATTGACAGTCAGCTCTACTGCCTTTTCGTTTGCATTTAATTCTTTATTACAAGCAATCCTGCAGTTCATAAAGAACTTTGTTTTCCTACCTCCACGAGTGCCATCTATTATTGCCTTGTTTATCTAAAAGTGCTCTTTTCTTTTAAACCTAGCCAAAAAGCCATATGTGTTGACTGTGAAACACATTAGACTTTAATTACATGCATTTATGGTGTAATTACTACATTTTCGTGTCAATCCATGTTCATATTGACCGCAAGCAATGCGCTGTCACTTTAATTAAGTGCCCGGGCACTGCCGGACCGCAACCGTGTGCAGTGTGAACGCTTTAAGAATTAAAAAGAAATGCAATTTATAAACTTTAGTGACAACGCTACACTGCCTCAATTGTACAAGTGACAATTCCTGTGTCAACTGTGCTGCGTGCAGCTCGCTTAGTGCAGATGCGATGTGATTTGAAGCCATTTGCGCATTTTGAGAGAGAGAGAGAAGGGCGCACGCGGCGATGCACTCACACTGTTTGTGAAATTATGGCTCACAGAAAGTTTTCAAAATTACTTAAGTTATTTAATGAAGAAATATGAATTGTACCTCACTTTCAGCATTATAATTATTTCACCCACGCCGGACAGACTGAAGAAATATGAAGGTGAGTACCTCACCTTCAGCATTATAATTATTTAACCCGCGCCGGACAGAGACTGAGACGGTGCCGCTGCATGTCATGCCTAACCTCTGACGGCAGCGTCATCAGCTTGAGATCGTTTTTTTGAGATCGGCCTTTTTAAGAGACCGCTGATCAAACATCCCAAAGCGATTATCGGCCGATAGTGATCGGTACCCGATCAATCAGAGCACCCCTAATATTATTGTTATATGGGCCTTCACACTAGTTTACGGTACATCAAATACAGGTGCGCTGCGTGCTACATACGGCGCATCCATTGAGTACGTGACATGATCCATTGAGTGCATCCAAATAGTACAGATCGCTTGACGGAGAGCGAAACTCTCAAGCGCTCAGTCAGCGTGTTTATCGAGTGAAAATCTGTGTTGAACGCCTCTCACACACACACTGGCGTGTAAAATCTAAGAATTTATTAGCCAATGGCTAATGTTAGATATTATTTAGTCGCCCAGAGTAAGATTTAGTCGCATATGCGAGTGATTTACTCGCAATGTAGAGGGTTGTATTAAATATTTAATTAAGCTTAATTATGCTTTAGAGAAAATGAGAATAATGGGAAGTTTTGGCTCATAAACTAGCTAAATAATTAGCTTTTTCTGGCAAATTTTACTATTATTTTTAGCAACAAAATGTCAACAGGAGTCAACGTTCACAGTAACAACATAATTAGGATCAACAGAAATTTCCTTCAGACACACCTACAGCTTGGAAAGTCTGGAGAGGTCTAGCCCAAGGTCTTGCCCCTAAAAGTATTTGGACAACATTATTGGTCTACCGATATAACTGTACTGGAAACGACTCAATAAGAACAACGATAAACTGAATTGAGATGAATCAGTCTTCCATAGAGTTGTTTACTGTTGAAAAAGTTCAGTTATAATTCTAACTGAATTTATTGATTCCTAAAGGAAGAATTTAGTAACACTGATGCAGTTTTTTTTCTGTTCATTACTGTAAAACTGCTTTGAAGCCTTATAAATAAAAGTGACTATCACTATCAACCAGGGGTGCATTTCCCAAAAGCAACTATGGTCGCAAGTTCCGTCGTTACCAATAGAGTTCAATGGAACGAACCACCATAGTTAGCCAACGATGCTTTTGGGAAACGCACCCCTGATCTGCATTTCAGCTGTGAATTGTGTGTTACAGCAAAACACATATTGTGTAGCGCCATGCTGTGAACAGGACTGAAACAACAGCAGCGAGCAGTTCCCTGTAGCAGACAGACACTGCCGTAAGAAACTCTCTGGCAGTGTAGTGTCTGGCTGCAGTCTTTTAACCAGGCTTATCCCTCTCTCTCTGGAGGACCAAGAGCCAACATGGATGCCCAGCACACTCCCACTGACACAAAATGGCAGTGCAAAGATCAGTGGTGTTATCAGGCCAGGACCGCAGGGGAGCTTCATCATTAGAGTTCATAATGGAGGCCGACGAGAGAAGGTGAGGCTATTTTGAGCAGCCTCAGACTCTGTGGATGTGTTTCAAGAGTGCTAAATAATCCATTTATACTTCAAAAACAACACATCTGGGAGATACAGCTACAGTAAACAGATGTGGCTTAATAGCATCACCCAGGCTTGATAAATTACATTTCCACATCTGAGACCGAACATAAAGACAACGTAATTCAAACACAAAACCGTGTAAAAAACAGCACTAGGATAGTTAATACTCCATTCTCCCGCTTGCTCTTTGTCCTTTATACACTCTCTGGTGGAGAGGCATCATTTTCTTGACATTTTGCACAGGTCTCCTGCTCTCAGGCCCCTGCACACGCACCCGGGTGAACCCTTACAATGCAGGGATGTCATTTTAGCTCTGTGCTCCTCACAGGCACAGTGTCCACCTGTTTCTGACACATACTTATGCTGTCAATCAAAAGCACCTACTTTGGGTTTTATGCCATAACTTTCACTAGGCTGTGTGTGGGTGTGTATAATTGACTTAGAATTATTTGTATGTTTTATTTATTATTATAGACACGTATAATAAATTAAATATACGTCAATAAAAAAATGAATCTATAAATATTAGCCTACTGTGTAAACTAGTATGTAATAATCTGATTTTCACCACAGTGCTTGTTTGCAATCTCTATTCTTGCAGTTAAATGGCTCTTTAGAGGTTCTCACCCAAACATCTCCCTGGGGGAATATCACTTATCCTCAGTCTCTTTGCAATGAAAACAACACATGCAGAAGCAACAGCATGGAAAGAGTACAACAAAATGATCTCCTTCTTAGGCATGCTGACAGATAAACACATTAGTATTAGGATGTAATGCTCGGTGACGGGATGAAAGGTCAGTTGTGTGGACTGACACAAGTTGACAACTGGCCAGCAACTCCAGTAATATCCTAAATGCCATGGGTGGAAGTGGACGACACCTTAACACGGGCACAATGCCAAATTTACATCCATTACAGCAAGACCAAGCCCAAACTGTTAGAAGAATAACACCTCAGTGACTCTGTGTGTGTTTGATCGACTCAACGTGCTTTAACATACACACGTGCATGCAAACATGCACTGCAATAAAACTCTAACGACCAAACACTGTTAACAAGTGGATTAGCAAGAAAAGTTAATAAAACGAATCCATTTTGCTCCAGGAGCGACCCTGTTTGCCATCATGAACCAGAGTCACCAAGTCTTGACTCCTGCTCACTGAAACCTCAAACCTTACGTCAAAATGATCAGTTTCCAACGCAATCTTCAAACGCGATATCAAGTCGCCAAGTATCACATGCATGCTCTAAAACAGCTAATTACCAGTTGACGTTTTCTTTACCTCTTATTTTGACTTGCTGGAGCTCATACTGAGCAGTTGCACTGTAGTACAGTACGCGCTAAAGATGCTAATTAGCCCAGAGCTAAAATGCTAAGACGCTAGTCTCAACTGAATGAGGTTTCCATGCTAACCAGCCGCTAGCACGTTAGCCAGTCAGATGCTACTTTTACAATTAGTTTTGACAGCACACGCTAGGCGGCTAACTAGCCAAGAAACCAACACGCTAAAAGCTAAAATGCTAACATGCCGGTGAGCCGATACCGAGCTAAGTTAGCAGATTAGCTAGAATGCCGTCCAGCTAAAAAGCTAACCCGACCGCAGCCTGCTAACCTCATACTGTAACTCGCAACCCAAGTCGGTCGAGTGATTCTAACCTGCTTTTAACTCCGCTGGCGGAACCTTCAACCAAAGCCCTTCTACTATCCGAAGCGAGAAACATATGGGAATAAAACAAGCACACTTTACCTCCTTTGGCTGGTGCCAGCGGCGCACTGTGTGTGAGTGAGGACGCCGCCGCCGCTGCTGCTGGAGCTAAGATGGCGCCCCCTCCAAACTTCCACTCTTACTTTGCGCACTCATCCAGCCACTTTAGAGAACCAGAGAGCAAAAGATCAATCAGCTGTCCACGCAAACGACATCAGACAAAATGTGGGAGGTTAAGTGAATAATGATTTTGTTTTTCATCGGGGGAGGAGGGGTTGTCAACACTTGGGACAGACACACAAACCTTCATCGCCCTCTGCAGTGCGTCCAGAAGCGCCTGCTGTTGCTGAAGAGGATAAAGATGAAATCAAGACATGAAGCTGCTCTCTACAAACACTATCGCGATACTTGACACTCCTCCCATGAAAATTAGATGGTGGGAGAGACTTCGGGGGCCACTCAGAAATTACTTTCCCTTCAGTCTAAACATCATTTCCAACACACACACACACAGAGTCTGGCTCACTGTCCTTGTGGGGACTCTCCATAGGCTTAATGGTTTTTATACAGTACAAACTATACTGTCTATCGCCCTACACCAACCCTACACCTAAACCTACCCCTCACAGAAAACTTTCTGCATTTTTACAATCTCAAAAAACTCATTCTGTATGATTTATAAGCTTCTGTACCCATGGGGACATAAATTTAGGTCCCCACTGTGACACAAGTCCCCATGAGTTGGTGTGTATTCAAGTTTAATTCCCCAACAGTATAGAAAAACCAGCACACACACACACTCACTCACTCACTCACTC